TAGTGTGAGCAGTGACGGGCTGTGGAGTCCAAATGTTACTTTAGGAACAGATCCTGCACACCAGTTGTCACAGGTAAACCACATACAAGGGCAGAGGCCTTGTTACAGGGCATAAGGTTTGGGGAGTAATGACTCCGAACTATGACCCTAGGAAGTCTCTCCTTTACGCCATGTCACACCGTGGACATGCTGAGAAACGGAGCAAGGGGAAAGTAAGCGGGGAGACTTCAATCTCCACTCGCATCTTCTCGACTGCTTTTGATCTCTGTGGTGCAGAAGACATAGGGACATACCCCTGTCTCCTCCAGAAAAGGACAATGGCTCGGGAATTTATAGTAAGGGGAATAAAAACAAAGTAAGATTTGCAGCAGAAACTGGGTAAAGGAAGAAAGAGGTGAAAGGAATATGTGAGGCTCCGAGAAACAGGCTTCGTGTGTGGGCAGGAAGCGAGGCAGCTCATCCAAAGGGAGAGAGGGCGCGCGTTGGGTCCTGGGAGCTTAAGGTCAAGATTATAGCCTGAGGGACAGGTCCAGACTACGAAGGTCCAGAAAGATCAGTCTCTCAGACCAAACATGCAGTGCTGAATCTATTATAATCTGATGCCTCCTACTCCCATGGGCTTCTGGGTATTCTCAAGGTGAAGCCCAGGATAAGGTGCCTGCCTAAGGGCGGCTTAGTCTTTCAGAGCAGGGGTGGGGGCGGGGGTGGGGGAAAAGGGCATGCATGCAAAGAACCTCTGTCAGTGATTTATCTCCTGGCCCTTCTTCATGTCAGCAAAACCTGTCTCGCTGTTTCATGATTCCTTCCTGAGCTGCATTTTCGCCATACTTTCCTCAGAACAAACATTATGCAACATTGCACCAGGAATTCTCTTCCCTTTCCCCTCATTACAGATAAGTCCCTGAGTACAGAGTTGTTGGGACGTGGGAAAACGTCTAGCTCATAGGTTCTGCTGGCGTTCAAAAGGGAGCTACCTCACTATGCCAGGAAGTCTTGCTAGGGACAGAAAACATTCGGTGGATTGTCTTCCTGTCGGAATGTTCCTCCTGTCCCACAGTCTCTCCCCTGTATGGTCTGCATCTCAAGGCCCAGCCTCTGACTCCAGAGCTCAGCAGAGGGGGCAGCGTGCGACCCCCCACCTCTGCACCTCCGTCTGCAGCACTCACGCCGCATGTGCTCCCTGCCTTTTTTGGTAGTTATTTGGGTCTGCCCCTGGTAGCTTCTGGCAGCTGCAGACTCTTACTTTCCTTAGAGCATATCCACCAACTGGCCTGCTCCTGAGAAGCGCTGAATAAATGGGCCAGGATGACTGACTGTACCAATATATTAACACACCTGCCTCTCCCGTGGGACGAGTGCTCGGCAATGGCTGGCCTTCTCATTCTTCTCTTCAGGGTCCTGTAGTGTGCTCAGGAATTTATTTCCTACTCTTGAAGAGAAGTGTTTCTAATTTTGACAAGACCAAAGTATGGGTTAATGTTGTTAAGTTCCAGGGTGAAATATTGCTGATTTCTTATTTTAAAATCTGTTTGGCCTTAATTGTGGGGAGAGGGGAGAAGTCAAAAACCCAGTAGGCTTGGAGAAAGTATGTCTTGCATAAATGAATGAATGAATACGGGACTGGTAGCATAAATCTAGTAAATAGAAGCTAGCTAAAAATAGCAGTAGAAATATAAAAGGATAAATGCTTAAGAGACCTAGAGAAAAACATGCAAAGAGATTAAGGTTAATTAAATTCTGAATCAGAACTTCCATCTTTATTGAGAAGTTGGCTTCATAACTTAAAAGGCAGAAAGGCAGTAAGAAAAGATAGACTGAAGACCTTCCCTGCGTCTGATAGCCACTTAGTTACTGTGTGAACTTGGACAAGTGACTCAGCCTTTCTGAGCTCATTGTGTTATTTTAAACCTCATTTTAATTTACCAAAAAGCTGTATAAATAGTACAGAGTTCCCACATATTCTTCATCCATCTTCCCTGGATGTGAATATTGTTCACAATCATAGCACAAGTAAGAAAACCAGGACATAAACACTGACACAGTAATTAACTCAACTGTACAGTTGAATTACTATTGAATTAGTTGCATATAAAAAATGCCTTATTGACGCTTTACTATTTTCCTATCACTTTCCTTTTTTTCCAGTCTCATATTCACTGGAACTTGACACTAGAATTTGTCTTTTCTCCAATGCTGAGAACTCCTCAGACTTTTTCATCTTTCACGACACATTCTAGAGCATTGCCTGTCCCTCAACCTGGGTATGCCTGACATTTTCCCATTACTGGATTCAGTTTTGCCTCTGTGGCAAGAACACACAGGTGACACTATACCTCGTTAAGCAGGATAAGTAGGGCTCAATTGGCTATGTATCATTACTGGTCAAGGAACCTTGAGACAGTATCTGTGGCTGGGCTTCCCCACTGTTCTATTCTTCTACGTGGTTAGCAAGGATCTTGTGGAAAGTTGCTTTGGAATTCTGCAAATACCCCATCTCTCATCCCATTTCATTTTGCTGAGTAACTTTGAAATGCATCAGTGGTTCCACACACAATGCTACTGGCTGTTGTGTTCTCATGGAGACTCCCAATTGCCCCAACAGTATCATTATTTGTTTTGCTGTCTAAGCTTCACTTTCTTCATTGGCAAGTCAGGGATCATGACAGCTGTAAAAGGATTAAGTAGGGTTAAAAAATGTGAAAATATCCAGTCCATAGCACCTACTAAGCAGGTGGACTTTCCTTTCTTTTTTTTTTTTTTTGTGCGGTGTATGTACATAGTCATGTGTAAATGTACATGTGTTTGCAGATATGTGTGTGTTTGTGTGTGCAAGCATGTGTGCATGCACACACATGTAGAAGCCAGAGGTCAGTGTCCAATTCAATTTCTCTCCACCTAGTATTTTGAGTCAGGGTATGTCACTGAATCTGGAAATCATCGATTCAGTTAGGCTGACTGGTCGGTGACCTCCAGTATCCCGTTTCCCTCTCCCCTGATGTCCTTTCGTTTCATTGCGAAAAGCCACACTAATCTGGAGGCAGTCCATTGTTAAGTATTTGAAAGTCATTCTTGTATCATTCTCTTTGAATGTTAGCCAGTCTTTCCGCCTTTTCGTTAAAAGTGAACAGAATTAACTATGCCCAGGCTGCTTGGTGGAAATCCTTTTGAACCTCCTTTGATCACTTCCCAGACTGACATTTTAATTAGTTTGCCTGTGATTTGTATGGAAATAGTTGCTTGAGAATACTTGAAAACACTCTATTCTCATAAGCAGTGTAAGTGTTTTCCCAGAAATCTTGTTTATGTTCTGAAGTTGTCATTAAACTATTTTCAGAGATAGTCCGAGACATACCTCACCCCAGATGTGGGTGCCCCATCTCTAGCTCTGCTGTCAGCAAATCACTGCTCATCACAGACTCCCAGGACTGTGGCAGTGATGAAAAAAGTCCAAGTTTGATTTAAAATTAGATTTTAAAACTTCTTGTAATTGCAATTCACTTGTAAGTTAAGGTCTAATTTTCTAAAAAGACAAGAATGGAGTCTTAAAGATGTGAGAGTAAATAGAGCTGGACATTTCAAATAAGTCTCGAAACAGTAAAATCACTCCATTTACGGGAACTTTCATTTTCCCGTCCATTTTTATCAGTAAGAAAAATCAAGAACACCAGGAGATTTATTTTAAAAAACAACTCCGGGTGGGTGTGGTTTTCCAAGCTCTCCTGTGGACTCCTAGTGGTTCCATTTTAGTTTGGGGTAGGATGGAAAGCTGTAGCTATAGCAAGTATCAACCTCAACGCAGGTGACGGGCAGGACACTGTAGCGGCGAAAGCCCATAATATATGGGTTCGAATCTCACAAGAGCCACCCATCCCTTGTGTAATCTGAGCCAGTGGCTGTCCTTACACCCTGGTTTCCCTGTTGGTTGTACAGGAAAGCTGTTCCCCAAGGTCACTGTGAAGAGATAGTAAGTGACACATGTAAAATTGCCATCGTGGCCTGTGGACACAGACTTCTCTCTGAGGAATGGGATTTGGGGGCATGCCTGGACGTGGACCCAGCTGGGCTCATTCTCTAACACTTTCTTATTTACTGGGCTTCATCCTGATCAATAATGTTTACCACCATTGACAGGATCTTTTCTGGCAAACTATAGAGGCCACAGACTGGGACCAGGAGTTAGGAGGGCAAACATAACAAAGGCTTTGACTGAGATACACATGACCCACAATGAGGAGTCCTCTTAGCATTAAATGGCCCTGACTAGTGACCCAGATCAGAAACTGAGCTATTTGTGGAATCCAACCAACCGAGAACCCACAATAGCCATCTTAAAAATCTGTGACTTAATAATTGGGGGAAAAAGAAATTAAAACTACAAGTAGAACAAGAAAATGAAAACCACAGATGCAAGGAACATTTGAGAGAGAAGGGTGCTTTACGACCAAGACTTGCATCTCCTTCCTGTCACTTCCTCTTTGACCTAAGCCACAGTGACGCCAACCATTGGCTCCCCATCCCTGCCCCACCCCTGGGTGCCATACAGAAGGTCCATCTTCAGGGTTCCCAAACTGCAGTCACACTCTCGGTCTTTAGAACTGGCGTCTGGCATGTTCTCTGAAGCTTTAAGGTGACTCTCTAGGGTTGAGGATTTTGATAAGATTCAGAGAGGGAAGTGGAGGGATTCACACCCCTTGGCAACCACCTCTATGCTTCCTTATATGAGGAACTCCAGGCACTGGTCTTTTAAGTTTCTGAGGAGAAGTGATAGATGTGGCCAGGTCATGCTGTCAAAGCTCACAATTGAGACATGAGTCTTAGAAGCACAGCTGGGAATGGGTAGAGGGGAGTCTGGGGGCTGAGATGTTTGTAGACAGCTAGGATGCAGTGAGGAGGATGGAGACGGTGTGGCAGCAGCCTCAGAGCCTGGGAAGGAGACTGGTCATTATGGAAGAAGCAAGGCAGACAGACAGAGTTATGGAAATATCTGAGTGGTTCCTTACCTCATTAAATCTCATCACAAGGTCTTCAAGGGCATTGTGCTCTCCATTCTGAGAAGTGAGGATTGATGCTGAGATGGACGCTTTGAGATGGGGCAGGGAACTCTGGCATTCAGGGGAACTCAAGTCCCGGGTTAAGAAACAAAGGTAGTCCATGGGCAGGACCTTCCGGTAAATGTTCTGCTCCTGCTCTGTCAGGATGCTGGCCACTTCCTCTGGGAACTGAATGAGGGGCTGGAGATCAATCAGCTCCTTGCTGATCCCAGCTGAACTTGAAGGAACAGTATTGGAATTGGCCATAGAGGTGCCCAGTTGGCGTTCTGAGGGAGGAAAAAAAGCAACAAAACTTAGGGTTATACCAAGGCTGGGATCCCTATCAAAAAACCAGTCAAAACCTTGTAGATTTCTCAGTCAAATCCTTTGCTTAGTGAGTAGCTCTACACCATCATGCTTGCTATAGAGACCTTTCTCACATCTGTTATCCTGGATCCCTGGGAGGTCGAGGCAGGGTCTTATCTTCCTTCAGTAGCCACAGTAATTTAACACATCACCATTCAACGAGCTCAGTATGAAACCATAGATCATCATTTACTTCTTTATCTTCCTTGGTTAGTCATAAGAGTTAAGATAAATAAGGTTGAATGTGGGCACAGCCAGGTGACTTTGAAGACAGAAGGCTGCACATGTATGTGCATATGTGTTATAAATATGCAGACCAGGCACACACAGTTCCAATGCATCCCCACACCTGTAAAAACTTCTATTTCACTGAGGTTCATTTGGGAATTTGCAAGAACAGAACCACCTATGAAGTTAAGGAAAAAATGGGTTCTAAGGGGACACATTCAAATAAATAATCTTATTTTATATTACAACTGGAAACAAGAAAGTAGCAGAAGAATGCAGGATAGGGGGTGATGGGCACAATAGAGAGAAGAACCAAAGGCAGCGGTGTCTAGGTTCAAAACAATTCCCTTAATTAACATCGACACACATGCTTTCTCTTTACTTTGATACTCTCCTAATCTAATTCTCAGCTACATGCCCAAATTAATTCATTCACTGACCCATTCATTTACTGAGCCATTCACCATTTTACGAAGGATGATCTCAAACTTCTGTCCTTCCTGCCCATGCCTCTTGAGTGCTGTAATTACAGCTGTGTATGTAGTACTGGAGCTCAAACCCAGAACCTTGGGTATGCTTAGCAATCACTCTACCAACTGAGCTACATCCCTAGCCCGGGGAAGAACATCCAGTTTTGTGGTTATATAAGTTTGGGAAAGGGTAAAGCATTCATGCCACAGTTCTCTTCCTGGAGATACTTCAGACACCGGTACCTTGCTACAGGCTTCAGAGGGCCGATTTCATTATCTTTTCCCAGTATTGCCCACTTTTTATCCACTGTCTACTGCATCATTCTGTATGACAAGCATCCTTGGAGCCTCTTCTGGAAACACTGCTATGGGATCCAAACTGCCCATGATCTCCATCCTGTGCGTGTCTTCCCTCCTAGCAGACCCAACTGGTTATCTTCTTTATATTCTGATACTGCTTCAGGAAGGATGCTATGCTCTGCATCCAGAACAATCCCTTGCTTCTGTTACAACATGTCTAAGTAGTCTTTGTTAAGATGAAGCCCAACTGTCTTCTTGATGATACCATACTACTTATATGTTAAGCTGGAATTCTGGATACCATTGGTAATAGAAGGAGTCCCGTAACATTCAGACTTTAGTGTTTTTCAACTCCTTTTAAATCTCTCTTGCAGAGATCTTTGGGTGTATCATGGCTCTACCTCTGAATCACCAAGCATGGTGGATAGCATGTCCTGTAATTCCAGGACTGAAGAAAGTGAGACAAGAGGATCATGAGTTCAAAGTCAGCCTAGAGGAGATAGCAAGTTTCTGGCTAGCCAGGGCTTCACAGTGAGTAGTGATACCTCACCTCAAAAACAGGAAGTAAAATCATTATGATTTCAGTGACTTTGCCCTCCATTGATACAAAGCAAGATAGTTCTAAATACATCCCTGGTTAAAAAAATTCTGTTAAAATTCTGTTGTCTTTCCTACAAATTCTATCATATCCACATTATACCATCTGTTTAATTCTAAAAGTTGGATAAGTGAATGAGATGTTCATTTTATATTTCTCCTCTACCAAACTATCACAAATCTACAAGCAAAAGTAGGGACCACCACTTGGCTCATCTAAGTTCATATTTTACAAAGCCTAACATAGATTCCAGAATCTAGCCACTGTGGACTCGAATTCAATTCTTCAAATAGTTTAGAAAATGACTAGGTTTCCTGAAAATTGAGTCACAATAAAACCAGAGCAGAGTCCAGGAACAGTTTTGGGGACAGATATTTTATGTACAGTGAAGTAAGTCACACACAGTAACTTTTCCCAGAAGGACTCCATAGAAGAAATGAAATAACAACGAATTCCATGAAATGACAACTTGTATAATATATAATGGAAGAGATAATGAAACAAGAATATATAAATAACAGTAAGGTGATATTTTGAAACAACTATCTTGAGATATGAATCACTGTTACAATGATTAATCTAGTGATAAGTGGCAGTAATGGAGATTAGAATAAAACAGTAAAAACAAAAAAAGAAGAGAAAAGAAAAGAAAAAGGATGCAGTCAGGGCAACCATGATAAATCTAATGGTTTCATGACATCACACCCAAAGAAAATACAAAGCAAGGTTGCAAAGCTTGAAACATATTTAGGCTTTGGCATGTGTTTTCTGAAAGCAGGATTCCTGGGGGCTTTTATATATTCACAAGTATCCGTGGGACATAAGTTTCTATCAACCAGCTTCCACACTTTGAACAAGTACTCTATTCCCTCTTCTCTCATCCTTGCTGGGACCTCCTGCTATTCCCCTTTTGCCTCACCAGCCACACCACCCCAGCCTCATCAGTCCGTCAGTCCAGCCTCCCTCCATACAACCTGATGGTGCACCGGTGCCCTGGAGCTCATGACTCCTTATCTTTCCCACTCATCCATGTGCCCGCTGGGATCTGTAGATCTTCTCTTCATTTTTAGAAAGTTTCTGGTGAATAAAATGATCTACCTCAGCTATGTGTGGCAACTCATGCCTGTAATAATCCTAGCTTTGGGGGGGATGGAAACAGGATGATCTACAGTTCAAGGCCAGCCTGAACTTCAGGTCTCTTGCTTAAAAACCAAAACCAAGCCCAAGATTACCTACCTCACTTTCAGTAATTACTCTCAGGCACATGTCTTCTGTAATGCTCACTCTACTGCTGAATATAGATATGATCACAGCCCAGACAAGGGCACCATGAGACAAAGTAATTTCAAATTGTGATTCTCTGCTTAAATAAAAGCTTTCTATACTAAGTGCTTTCTATGGACTAATTCAGGAGATTTACATTTTAATTAATTAATTAAGTAATTAAGTAATTGTAAATATATGTGGGTGTGAGTGTGTCATAGCACACATGGGAAGGTCGGAGAGTAACTCGCAGGAGTCAGTGCTCCCCTTCCACTGTGTGAGTCACCGGGATTGAACTCAGGTCATCAGCCTTGGTGGCAAGCACCTTTACCTGCTGAGTCATGCCACCATCCCCCAGGAGATTCAGTGTTAGCATCCGGATTTGACTCACCAGAGCTGCAGCTCATATAAGGTGACATAAGTAGGAAGTCGGAGATGTCATCTGAACAGGGTCTATTTGACTCCAGACCCCAGGTCCTCATTACTCAGACATCCCAGTTTATGGATGCATTTCAAGAGAGTTTGGTTAGTGTAAAGCAATGTGTTTGCCTCAAAACTTGGAGTGATTAGCTAAAAAGACCTCTTTTGACTTTGAAGATGAGGCTGTGGCTGAGAAGGCCGAAAGTTCTCTTCCTCAGTCAGCCTGAGGCACCTCTTTAGTCACCACGCTGCGGCATGCTGAAAACCCGTGGGCCCATTGTGAGTTCACAGGAATGCCCCCTGTTTAAAATCAGATCTGTCTGAAGGACCTATATTGGATTTATACAAAGCATTTCTCTCTCATTAATAATTTACAGGAGTGTGTTAAAACAAAGGCAAAGAGGCTCCTTTTTCTTACTAAACTGCTTTTTAGATGTATTCATCTAAATTTTGTGCATATGAGTGCTCTACTTGCACATATGTGTGTGTGTCCCATGTGCATGCTTGGTGCTCAAGGAGGACAGAACACGGTGTTAGATCCCCTGGTACTGGAGTTCCATTCGGTTGTGAACTGTCACATGGGTACTGGGAACTGAACTCAGGTCCTCTGTAAGAACAAGAGGTGCTCTTAAGAGCTGAGCCTTCTCTTCAGCCCTAGAGGCTCTTGCCTTAACTGCAGGGTTTCTCAAAGTCTTTAAGGTTCCCATGGGGATATGATGTACTGTTACACAGCAGTCCTCCTCAGCCTTGCTGTCTGTCTTTATCATTGCAGAGGGATCAGTGTCTCTTCACAGTGTCTCCCATTACCCTCAGCTATCTGCAATGAGTCCACAGGGACCTTCAGATTTTGTGACGTTTATGGTTCCAAGAACTGCTGGGAATCTGTGTAGTGATGGAAGGGTAAGTGTGGTGACTGTGTCTGCTCACCAGACAGTGGTTTACCACCTCCCACCAGCTGAGGTCTATTTTAGGAGAGATGGGGTATCACTGTAGCCAGCAAGGAATCACAGGAATATGTGTGTGCTTGTGAAGAAACAAATACATACGCATTTAGATGGCTGGGTGTCATCATCTGTCTAAGTAGCACCTCACCTGGGGGATAGGAAGGGCACATCAAGCCTTTCTCTTGTGAGATGTTGTTACCCTGGAAGCTAGAGCATTCTTAGGAAACCCTCCTCTTTCTTCTTCCTCTCTGGCGGTCATCAGCCACTGAATTTGTCTGGTAGAACCATTCCCAGGGGTGATCTGTAATAACCTGAATCACCCATTTAGACCCAGGGGATGAATTTCTTAATTTATGAGTGATTTCCATGAATCTGTTCATCTAGTACCTTTTAGAAATTCCCTACCCTGTGGGGGTTGCATTACAAAAAACAAAACAAAACAAAACAAAACAAAAAAACCAACGTCACATGATCCCACCCAAGTGCCTTAAGCTAAGGTAAAACAACAACGGTCACTTACCCTTCTCATTTTGGTTACTCTCTCTCTCTCTCTCTCTCTCTCTCTCTCTCTCTCTCTCTCTCTCTCTCTCTCTCTCTCTCTCTCTCTCTCTCCTTCCTTCCTTCCTTCCTTCCTTTCTTTGGATTTTTGAGACAGGGTTTCTCTGTATTGCTTAGGAGCCTGTCCTGGACCAGACTGG